GGAAAAACATTCTTTGCTCATGGTTAGAATGACAAAAATTGACAAGGCAAGAAACAACAAATGTTGGAGAGGTTGTGGAGAAAGGGGAACCCTCTTACACTGTTCGTGGGAATGCAAGTTGGTACAGCCCCTTTGGAAAACAGTGGGGGGGGTGCCTGAAAAAATTAAAAATAGAGCTACCCTATGACCCAGCAATTGCACTACTAGGTATTTACCCCAAAGACACAGATGTAGTGAAAAGAAGGGCCCTATGCACCCCAATGTTTACAGCAGCAATGTCCACAATAGCCAAACTGTGGAAAGAGCTGAGATGCTCTTCAACAGATGAATGGATAAAGAAGATGTGGTCCATATATACAATGGAATATTACTCAGCCATCGGGAAGGATGAATACCCAACTTTTAAATCAACATGGATGGGACTGGAGAAGATTATGCTAGGTGAAAGAAGTCAAGCAGAGAAAGTCAATTATCATATGGTTTCACTTATTTGTGGAACATAAGGAATAGCATGGAGGACATCAGGAGAAGGAAGGGAAAAATGAAGGGGGGGAAATCGGAGGGAGAGATGAACCATGAGAGACTATGGATTCTGTGAAACAAACTGAGGGTTTTAGAGGGGCGGGGGTTGAGGGAATGGGTTAGCCCAGTGATGGGTATTAAGGAGGGCACATACTGCATGGAGCACTGGGTGTTATACGAAAACAATGAATCCTGGATCACTACATCAAAAACTAATGATGTATTGTATGGTGACTAACATAGTAAAATAAAATAAAAAAATAAAAAAAAAATGAAAACGTAAAAAAAGAAAGAACAAATATTATTAAAATGTCTATATTACCCAAAGCAACCTACACATTAAATGTAATCCTTTCAAAATACCAACAGCATTTTTCACATAGCTAGAACAAACAATCTTGAAATTTGTATGGAACTACAAAAGACCCCGAATAGCCAAAGCAATCCTGAAAAAGAAAAACAAAACTGGAGGTATCACAATTCTGGACTTCAAGTTATATCACAAAGCTGTAGTCATCAAGAGGGGATGGTACTTGCACAAAAATAGACACATAGCTCAATGAACAGGACAGAAAACCAGGAAATTAACTCCAACTACATGGTCAGTTGATCTTCAACCAAGCAGGAAAGAACATCCAATGGGAAAAAGACAGCCTCTTCAACAAATGGTTTTGGGAAAACAAGACAGCAACATGCAAAAGAATGAAACTGGACTAATTTCTTATGCCACACACAAAAATAAATTCAAAATGGACTAAGGACCTAAATGTGAGACAAGAAACCATTAAAATCCTAGAGAAGAACACAGGCAGTAACTTCTCTGACATTGGCCATAGCAGCATCTTTCTAGATATGTTTCCTGAGGCAAGGGAAACAAAAGCAAATATAAACTAAAGGAACTACATCGAAATAAAAACTTCTGCACAGTGAAAGAAACAATCAACAAAACTAAAAGGCAACCTATGGAATGGGAGAAGATATTTGCTAATGACATATCTGATAAAAGATTAGTATCCAAAATATATAAATTATACGACTCAACACCCCAAAAATGAAGAATCCAATTAAAAATGAGCAGAAGACATGAATAGACATTTTTCCAAAGAAGACATACAGATGGCCAACAGACACATGAAAAGATGCTCAACATCAGAGCTCTTTAGGGAAATGCAAATCAAAACTGCAATGAGATGCAGTCAGAATGGCAAAAATCAACAGCACAATAAACAAAAGGTGTTTCTTGTGTAAGGATGTGGAGAAAGTGAACTCTCCTGCACTGCTGGTGGGAATGCGAACTGGTGCAGCCACTCTGGAAAACACTATGGAGATTCCTCAAAAAGTTAAAAATAGAAATATCTTAGGATCTAGCAATTACATAATAGGTATTTACCCAAAGAATACAAAAATATGAATTCAAAGGAATTCATGCACCCTAGTGTTATAGCAGCCAAACTATGGAAACAGATCGTGTCCATTGACTGATGAATAGATAAAGAAGAAGAGGTCTGTATATACATGGAATATTACTCAGCCATAAAATGAATGAAATCTTTTCATTAGCAACAACATGGATGAAACTAAAGAGTATAATGCTAAGTGAAATAAGTCAATCTGTGGAAGAGAAATACCATATGATTTCACTCATATGTGGAATTTAAGAAACAAAACAAATGAGCAGAGAGGAAAAAAGAGAGGCAAACCAAGAAAGAGACTCTTAACTATAGGTGATGGTTACCAGAATGCAGATGGGTGGGATATGTGGAATAGGTGACGGAGATTAAGGAAGGCACTTGTGATAAGGACTGGGTATTGTGTGACAGTGTTGACTGACTGTACTGTACACCTGAAACTAATGTTACACTGTATGTTAACTAACTGGGACTTAGTTTAAATAAAAGTTTAAGTTTAAATAAAAAAATGATAACTGAAGGTAATTTTCTGAAAAGTTATAGAGGAGGCCATACAAAAATAAAATAAAATAAAATTGGTGTCCCTCTCATCTCAGTGGCTTAGTCTTTTCAACCATTTAATCAACCTCCACATTAAATTATTCAACAAGCTGATTTTTCTTCCTAAATATCTCTCTGATATTTTTACTACTTTTATTTCTCTTCCCACTCTAATCCTGAGGTTGTGGACATTTTTAGCCTAAACTAAGTAAAATTCCCTTCAATGAACCTATTGCTTCTAGTCCTCATCATTTCAATCCCACCACCCCCAAACTCTTATGTTGCCATTCTAACAAGAAAATCCATCATTTATTTGCACTAAAGCTATTGGATGATATTAAATTATTTAAGAATAAAATCCTAAAATTCACTAACATCAATACAAATCTATATGGCTCACATCTCAAATGTTACAGCCATCTGTAAGGTTCACTTGATATCTCTAAAGAAAACAAAATTATCTTAGCTGTATTCCCAGAGAACTTTGAATATCCCTCTACTAAAAATTTTTTCATTTCTAGCTGTGGCATCTCTAGTACACGTTCAGTTTTCTGTTATTTCTGAGGTACTGGGGAGACAGGGATGTTGTCACACATATTTTGATATCTGTCTAGTTTTGGGCTTATACTAAGCATGTAAAAAATAATTGTTGAATTAAATTTAAATGATGTGAATGCCTGTAAATTATGCCCAGCAAAAAATGAGCAGTCAATACCAACAGTGCAAATACAGGAATGAATTTAGATAATAAATATATATTTCCCCTTTTGGTTACTTGACTGAACAACAGAGATTTTTAGTAGAACCATGAACAATCTTTTAATACTTATCTATTAATACTTCAATAACATATATATTAGACTTAAAAAGTTTGATCAGGTTATAGACAATCAGGAAGAAAGTTTAAGAGCAACATAATTTTCATAAATTAAATAAATACAGTATACAACATGGATCACAACCAAACTAAATGATTAGGCTATAAATACTTCAGTGAAATATGCAGAATTGGCTATTTTTAGGTTAAATTCCTTCTGTTACCATTTGTTACCTGTACCAGTATTTTCTTGATAAATAGACACTAAAATTAGATTTGGGAAAATCATTACAAAGGAATATATATATTTTTAAAAGGCTAGCCTTTTCCATTTCTTTTTATTTTTTTCCTTTTACAAATTAGAAAACAATCATTTGATTTTGTGCAGAAATATTTTATGTAAGGAATGTAAGCAGAAGTGTTTCATGGAATGAGTACTCAAGAATTGTCTGGCAAAAAAATCCTTGCAAACTGAAATTATGCAAGTCACAACTTGCATATTTACCCAGAAAATGAATGCTCTTTCCAAGTTATTCCCTTCTCATATGTGACTGCCATACTGAGGGGGAAAAAAGTTTACATTTAACATTTTACTAGCCAGATTTTCCTAAGAAGCCAAGTTATACACAATGGAATAAGTAAATTATGGGAAAATAAAGTTGTTCTTACAGGATCATTTCATAGTTATTTCTTTCTCTTCTTTCTTTCTTCTTTCTTTCTTTTCTTTCTTTCTTTCTTTCTTTCTTTCTTTCTTTCTTTCTTTCTTCTTTCTTTTTTCTTCCTTCCTTCTTTTTCTTTTTCTCTTTCTTTCTTTCTCTTTCTTTCTTCTTTCTTTTCTCCTTCCTTTCTTTTTTCTTTTCTTTCTTTCTTTCTTTTCTTTCTTTCTTTCTTTCCTTTCTTTCTTTCTTCTTTCTTCTTTTTCTTTCTTCCCTCCTTCCTTCTTTCCTTCCTCCTTCCTTCCTTCCTTCCTCTCTTTCTTTCTTTCTTTCTTTTCTTCTTTCTTCTTTCTTCCTCTTTTTCTTTTTTTGGACTGATACTTCAACTACAAAACCATACTGAGGCAGTAAAACACATACATACACCCATTCCATATTTAGCTTCTCATATAGTTTCCTTAACCAAAGAGTTTTCTAAGAAACAAAGTTATCTACGATTGAAGAATTTAGATACCCTTTTTTTTTACTCTTCATGTGTGTGCACGTATGTTTATTTGTTTTGACCTGAGACTTAGAAATCCAGCGGTAGATATGGTTTCCATTTTCTGTTTTCCTTCACTACTGTAGTTCAGCCGTTGTGCCAAAAAACTACGACGTGAACTATTAACATTGCCAAGCACTTCACCAGCAGATGGTCCATTTCCAGAGGAGAAAATGCACTTTATGACTCTCACGTCATCCCTGAATGCGCTTCCAATGTCCGCGTTTTGGAAAATAAAGCCCAAGCCCACGTGGGCAGCAGGACGGGATGGCTTGTGCCTCCTGCGCGCAGCGGGCGGTAGGTGGGCGCCCGGGGCTGTGACTGCCACTGCGACTGCTACAGCTCCGGCGGGTCCGCAGAGGTGGCACGGTGGGCGGAGCAGCCGCGCCCCCTCCCCCACCGCCCGGCCTCTGGCGCAGACCCCAGCCCCACCCGCCCGGAACGCAGGTCCTGCGCGTGCGGCTGCCGTTCCGCAGCCAACAGACATCACCGTGGCAAGGCCGGCAGGCCCCGCAATGCTGTCTCTCCTGCTGATCCTCTCAGGCCTAGGCCGGCTGACCTCCGCGGGCCATCGTGAGTGAAGGACCCTCCTCCATAGAGGGTCACCTGTCGCAGAGCCTCTGGGCGTGCCGGGCCCCAGAACCTTGCTCCAGAATCCCGGGTCTGGCTTGGGAGAGCCCAGCGTCTTGTCAGAGCCCACTTAGAGTCAGGATCCTCCTGGGCCTGCTGCTTGGAGGGTTCGGAGCAGGACTGAGACAGTTGCCCCTCACTTGCCTGACCCCGCACTTGGAGGAGAGGGCGCGCATCTTCTGGGAGGTGGGCACCTCTTCACCTGCTGGGGCTGAGGTCAATAAGTCTCAAAGTCTCTGGATGGTGGTAGGGTCACGCCCCAAAGTGTGTATGGATGGTGGAGGGAACCTCTTCCTGGAATGTACAAAGTCTGATTCTGTGGCGGGTGAGTGCCTGCCTCTGTGTGTGGGCCCTGTGTGTGTGTGGGGGGGGGGGGGGGGGTGTTGGGGCTTGGAAGTTCAAAGAGTGATGTGATGTGATGTGATGTGATAGGACACGTGAAGAATTAAAGATGCTGCCAGGCACTGGGGAAAGCTCACACATGTTTTCCTTACTGTAGATCCCGAAACATCGCCTCTACAAATTACAGTGCCACAGAAGATTGAGACAAATACCAGTGATGGTGAAGTTTCAGAAACACATGTAATTAAGAAATTACTTTTTTAATTTGTATTAATTAATTAATTTTTGAGACAGAGAGAGTGTGCGAGTGGTGGGGAGAGGAGCTGAGGCAGAGGAAGAGAATCTTAAGCAGGCTCCCCACTGAGGGCAGAAGTTGATGGGGGGCTTCATCTCTGGACGGGAAATTATGATCTGAGCTGAAATCAAGAGTCAGATGCTTAACCAGCTGAGCCACCCAGGCATCCTGTGGAAATCACTTTTTTAAAATGAGTGCTTTATTTTTATTGGACTAGGTGACCCAAATCAATTCATGCATGTCCCTTTGAAACTTTTTGTTCTAATTACTGTGTTAAAGAGTCATTTTGTCTCAATGAAAGAAAGCATTTTGATTTTTCTTTTCATTTCCCAATGAACAATATGAAACTTTTTAAAAACTGACTCAGAAAAAAGTACCCCAAATTCCTATCACACGAAATGATATATACAGTCTACTGGACTTTTTTCTAGAAAATAGGAATATTTAAATATTTATTCTATATAAATAGGGTCACACTAATATTTATAAGATGATTTTTAAAAAGACAATATATAATTTCTTCATGCCTATATTTGCATATATAGGCATATATATCTGTTAATGTAATATATATAATCTGATTAAAAAGTAAAGCATGTACATTGGAAAATTAGAAAGCACAAACAGTTGTTAAGAAAGTGAATGTGTGCCTCGGTTTCTAAAGGTAATAAATTTGAAATGAATGAATTTTTAGAGACATGCACATTCCTGCACATATATTTTTAATAATAACATATGAGTGTGCTAATTAGCTTTTAATTTACTTATAAGGTTAAAATTTATTTTATGATCATAAATATAGCTTTGTCATTTTTCATAACTGCATGATTATCTCATTATATGGATATAACATCATTCTTTGTCAAAATTAAAAATGTAGTTTTTAAAAAGATTTTATTTATTTATTATTTATTTTATTATGTTATGTTAATCACCATACATTACATCATTAGTGTTTGATATAGTGTTCCATGATTCATTGTTTGCATATAACACCCAGTGCTCCATTCAGCTCCATTCACCCAGTGCCCTCTTTAATACCCATCACCAGGCTAACCCATCCCTCCAGCCCCCTCCCCCTAGAACCCTCAGTTTGTTTCTCAGAGTCCATAGTCTCTCATGGTTCATCTCCCCCTCCGATTTCCCCCCCTTCATTCTTCCCCTCCTGTTATCTTCTTCTTTTTTTTTCTTAACATATATTGCATTATTT